ATGACGAACATTCAATGCCATAGACACACAACCTATATTGACAGACACACAGAGGCTATTTAACATTCCAGCTTTTTCATGAGGGTATTCTGCCACCAGGGGAGCTGTTGCTTCATCGTCCATTTGTGACACTGATGAAGTACTTCCTCATTCTTTGCATGCTTGCTGGAGATTTTTATGGCATCACAAATTAGCCTCCCTGCATAAGCAGTATCTAAATTTCCTACTTGACAGATGCAACTGTCTTTCGGGATGCAAAGGTCAACAGCAAGCTACACAAATTGGTCAGAAGCTCACCCTGACCTGGGCCACATTTTCCTAGTTTCCTGCATGTGTTTTCAGGGCTGCTAATGTGTGTGGCTGTCAATAAATAATAGCAGGTTCTGCGGGATGTATGTAAAAGAGAAGAACAGACAAAGCCTCCTCTTAGTATTCCTTCCTTGCCTAAGAAAGCACTGTGAAATTGACAGTGTTTCCATAAGTCCACAGGAGACTTAATGGCATAAGAATGCCTGTCTGTTTGAGCTAGGTATGAATGTTTCAATTGGCCACCTTTATTAGCATTTGATGGCCAAGCAGTTTCAAAGTCTGGCTTCTTACTGCCTCAGGGAATTCTTTGTTGGGAGGTGATTAGTTGGCCCCGATTATTTATTGTCTGGAGTTCCCCCACAGATATATAAACCCCATTTTCCTAGTTTCCAACAGACCTCACAGCCTCTGAGGATGCCTGCCATGGAATCCTTTATTGGGAGGTGATTAGTTGGCCCCGATTATTTATTGTCTGGAGTTCCCCCACAGATATATAAACCCCATTTTCCTAGTTTCCAACAGACCTCACAGCCTCTGAGGATGCCTGCCACAGAATCCTTTGTTGGGAGGTGATTACTTGGCCCTGATTGTTTATTGTCTGGAGTTCCCCCACAGATATATAAACCCCGTTTTCCTAGTTTCCAGCAGACCTCACAACCTCTGAGGATGCCTGCCATAGATGTGGGCGAAACGTCAGGAGAGAATGCTTCTGGGCATACAACCCGGAAAACACACAACAGCCCAGTGATCCTGGTCATGAATGCCTTCGACAATACATTCCAGCTAGACTTTTAGCCAAAGCAAAAGTGGCAAATAAAGGCAATGTACCTGCCCAGGTGGAGAGGTTTGCCTGATGATCCAGAGCTTTAAAATGAGGTGTGGAACGGCTTCAAAAGACATCTAGGCTACTTGTGTTTTCAGGGCTGCTAATGTGTGTGGCTGTCAATGAATAATAGCAGGTTCTGCAAGATGTATGTAGAAGGGAAGAGCAGACAAAACCTCCTCTTAGCATTCCTTCCTCGCCTAAAAGAACACTGTGAAATCGACAGGGTTGGCATAAGTCCACAAAAGACTTGATGGCATATACAACACCGGAGTCTGTGGCAGTTTCGGAAGGAAATCTGAGTTCTAGATCAGTGGTTCTCAACCTTCCTAATGCCGCGACCCCTTAATGCAGTTCCTCATGTTGTGCTGACCCCCAACCATAACATTATTTTCGTTGCTACTTCATAACTGCAATTTTGCTACTGTTATGAATCTTAATGTAAATATCTGATATGCAGGATGTATTTTCGGTAACTGGACCAAATTTGGCACAAAGACCGATACACCCAAATTTGAATACTGATTGATTTCGTCATTTGAGAGTTGTTGCTGCTGGGATTTATAGTTCACCTACAATCAGAGAGCATTCTGAACTTCACCAACAATGAAAATGAACCAAACTTGACACACAGAACTCCCATGACCAACAGAAAATACTGGAAGGGTTTCATGGGCATAGACCTTGAGTTTTGGAGTTATAGTTCATTTACACCCAGAGAGCACTGTAGACTCAAACAATGATGGATCTGGACCCAACTTCGCACGAATACTCAATATGCCCAAATGTGAACACTGATGGAGTTTGCGGAAAATAGACCTTGACATTTGGGAGTTGTAGTTGCTGGGATTTATAGTTCAGCTACAATCAAAGAGCATCCTGAACTCCATCAATGATGGAATTGAGGCAAACTTGGCACACAGAACTCCCATGACCAACAGAAAATACTGGAAAGGTTTGGTAAGCATTGACCTTGAGTTTTTTGAGTTATAGTTCACCTACATCCAGAGAGCATTGTGGATCTGGACCAAACTTGGCACAGATACTCAATATGCCCAAATGTGAACACTGATGGAGTTTGGGTAAAATAGACCTTGACATTTGGGAGTTGTAGTTGCTGGGATTTATAGTTCACCTAAAATCAAAGAGCGTCCTGAACTCCACCAATGATGCAATTGGGCCAAACTTGGCACATAGAACTCCCATGACCAACAGAAAATACTGGAAAGGTTTGGTGGGCATTGACCTTGAGTTTTGGAGTTATAGTTCACCTACATCCAGAGATCATTGTGGACTCAAACAATGATGGATATGGACCAAACTTGGCACGGATACTCAATCTGCCCAAATGTGAACACTGGGCAGATTGGGCAGATTGGGGCAGATTGGGGAAAATAGACCTTGACATTTGGGAGTTGTAGTTGCTGGGATTTATAGTTCACCTACAATCGAAGAGTATTCTGAACCCCACCAATGATAGAATTGGGCCAAACTTCACACACAGAACCCCCATGACCAACAGAAAACACTGTGTTTTCTGATGGTCTTTGGTGACTGCTCTGACACCCCCTCGTGATCCCCCCCTCGTTGTCCCAACCCCCAAGTTGAGAAACATTGCTCTAGTTTTTCAATGAATATCTCATTGAGTCACAACCAATTCACCCTAGTTTGCGGCAGTCACCAAAATATTATTATTATTATTATTATTATTATTATTATTATTATTATTATTATTATTGAGAGGAATGAATGGAAGACACCAAAGCATAGATAGGTGGCATTAGTGTGGATGGATGAGTGAAGTGTCTTTAAGTAGGGCAGTGGGACCATATTATTATTATTATTATTATTATTATTATTATTATTATTTGAAACACAACAAGCTGGGTCCACAGCAGACAAGATCACTCTGCTGGCTGTTGTATTGGATCACATGTCGGACACTTCCCAAGTGTCCAGAACTGTGTGATGTATCGGCGAATAATGCGTGCAGATCCCAGTAAGATGGCTTTCTGCAGCTGGCAGTTGGTAATTTTGTCAGAGCCGATTGTGTTTAAGTGCAGGCCAAGGTCTTTAGGCACTGCAGCCAGTGTGCCGATCACCACTGGGACCAACTTGACTGGCTTGTGCGGGAGTCTTTGCAGTTCGATCTTTAAATCCTCATATCGTGTAAGCTTATTATTATTATTATGTTGTCAAAGGCTTTCATAGCCAGAATCACTGGGTTGCTGTGAGTTTTCCTGGCCGTATGGCCATGTTCCCGAAGCATTCTCTCCTGAATGCTCACAGTAAAACCCACTCACAGTAACCCACTTGTTGTTGTTGTTGTTTTTGTTATATTCTATAGTCAAAGTATGTATGTATGTTTCACAAAAGCTTCCACATGGTTTGATGGATCTGGAAACAAACTTGCACACATAACCTTCACCATGCAACTTAAAATATTGGTGCAATTCAACGTACCTGTTTTGAAAAGCGTTTACCTGAGTTAGGTATAGGTAAAGGTTTTCCTCTGACATTAAGTCCAGTTGAGACTAACTCTGGGGGTTGGTGCTCATCTCCATTTTAAGCCGAAGAGCCGGCGTTGTCCGTAGACACCTCCAAGGTCATGTGGCCAGCATGACTGCATGTAGCGCTGTCACCTTCCCACTGGAGCGATACCTATTGACCTACTCACATTTCCGTGTCTTCAAACTGCTATGTTGGCAGAAGCTGAGTTAAGCTGTGCCTAGAAGTTGAGTACTAAAACTTTAGTAAAACAGTACCATCTTTCCCTGGATGTGCAACTTCTAATGGGAACAGCCATAAAATCGAAAAGCTAACTATGATTATTTATAACTAGCCGTTCCCTGGCATGCATTGCTGCAGCTGTCTGTGTATGTGTTTTGTGTGTGTGTATGTGTATATATGTGGTTTTGAGCATATGTTGTAATGTATTTTTTACTCTTTGGCTTTTTAAGTCCCTTCCACTGTGTTTTTCAGTGTTTTTATGAGTGATGGTCACTCATTGGCCTAATATGTGTATTGTGTCCAAATTTGGTGTCAATTTGGTCAATTCGTCCAGTAGTTTTTGAGCTATGTTAATCCCACAAACGAACATTACATTTTTATTTATATAGATAAATACCATTCAGAATACATAACCTGGGCACTGCCAGACATATGTGCAAGAATAGGCATGGGCAAACTTGAGCCCTCCAGGTGTTTTGAACTTCAACTGGGAGTTGAAGTCCAAAACACCTAGAGGGCCGAAGTTTACCCATGCCTGTGTGAGACATATATACCAATGTGCGTATGTGTATCCAGACACAAATCGGCCATCAGAGAAAACAAGGTTTTCCTACTGCCGCCCAGGAAAACCCAACCACCAAGCCACCGCTCTCTCCCATATATTAATCTACCCAAGTATTGCTATAATACCAATCATGTGAGGCCCTTGGAGCAGGTCTAAGAATGGGCCCTGCACACGGCGCACCAAATGGTCRGAAAGGGAACCCTCCCCCAGCAGAAGGGCTGCCACCAACAACAACCAYCACCACRGCTCTCTGTCTCTCTCCCCCCCTCCTTTCTCCAGGGCTTAAGAGGAGAAAATCCCAAACCTTCGGATCTAAATGCCCAGAGAAGTCCTGGGCAGCAGAATCTCTTACCCAGCTCTAAATCTCTTTTCAATTCAGGTTAAGCTTCTCTTTTTATTACAGATTATAGGGATCTCCCACTGTATCACTTCTGGGTTATCCTTTTAACACATTTTGCTCTTTCTCGCCGGGGTTATTTTTTGTGGTTTCTCGTGGGGTTGGGAAGGAGCTGCCCTTGGTCTTTTCTCCACGATCCATGCCCCAGACCAAATCTCTGTTATGCTTCCTTGCAGAGGGACCCGGAGGCGCTCGAGACGGACAACCGGGCCCTGGGACTGCTCTCCGGAGAAGGTAAGCAAGACCTTTTTCGTCCACAAAGATGTGTGTTTGGATGAGAGAATGAAAAATGAGGATACTATGCCACCAACATAGGCATTCAGTGGTTGACCATGGAGCTCTTCATAGATAAGAGACCCAACGAGATGGAGGAGAGGCAATATGTATGATCTGTCTATCATCTGTTTAGCATCTCTATTCAGCTATCTATCTACCTGAATACCAACCATACAAGAAAGACTTCTGTCAAGGTACCTGCTGATCACTTTTGATCATCAGCCTATGAGTTGAATCTTCCTCATTCTTCCTGGTGAAGAATTCAATACAACTTGGAAACTCTTGGATGAGAGACTGAAAAATAGGGACGTTATGGACATTCAGTAGATTGTCGTTGACAATATAGCTCTTCATAGGTAAGATACACAAAGGGATGGAGGAGAGGTAATATCTAGATAGGTTCTATCTATCATCTATCTAGCAATATCTATCTATCTATCTATCTATCTATCTATCTATCTATCTATCTATCTGAATACCAACCATACAAGGAAGACTTCAATCATCTATAACCAAAGTGCCTTTTGATCATTTTTGATCATCAACCTACGAGTTGTATGTTCCTTATTCTTCCTGGTGAAGAATTCAATACAACTTGGAAACTCTTGGACGAGATCCTGAAAATTGGGTCATTGTGGACATTCAGTAGATGGTTGTTGGCAATGTAGATATTCATAGATAAGAGACCCAAAGGGATGGAGGAGATGTAATATATATGTTATATCTATCTATCTATCTATCTATCTATCTATCTATCTATCTATCTATCTATCTATCTATCTAGTATATCTATCTATCTATCTATCTATCTATCTATCTATCTATCTATCTATTTATCTAGCCAAATATCAACCACACAAGGAAGACTTCACTCATCAGTAACCAAGGTGTCTTTTGATCACTTTTGATCATCAACCTACAAGTTGCATCTTCCTTGTTCTTCCCGGTGAAGGATTCCATACAGCTCTTGGACTGAAAAATTGGGACATTATGGGCATTCAGTAGATGGTTGTTGGCAATGTAGCTCTTCATAGATAAGGGAGATACCATATGTATGGTCTTCTATCTGTCTACCTACCTACCTACCTATTGATGTATCTTAGTTGGTATAGGAGAAGGTTGTTGACAATATAGCTCTTCATAGATAAGAGACCCAAAGAGAACAGGGAGATAACATATGTATGGTCCTCTATTTATCTATCTATCTATCTATCTATCTATCTATCTATCTATCTATCTATCTATCTATAGGAGACGGTTGTTGGCAATGTAGCTCTTCCTAGATAAGAAACCCAAAGAGAACAGAGAGATGCCATATTATGGTCTTCTATCTATCTATCTATCTATCTATCTATCTATCTATCTATTTACCTACCTACCTATCTACCTACCTATTGATGTATCTTAGTTAGTATAGGAGATGGTTGTTGGCACTATAGCCCTTCGTAGATAAGAGACCCAAAGAGAACAGGGAGATAACATATGTATGGTCCTCTATCTATCTAGCTATCTAGCTATAGGAGATGGTTGTTGGCAATATAGTTCTTAATAGTTAAGAATCCCAAGGAGAACAGGGAGATAACATATATATGGTCTTCTATCTATATCTATCTATCTATCTATCTATCTATCTATCTATCTATCTATCATCTATCTATCTATCGGAGATGGTTGTTGGCAATGTAGCTCTTCCTAGATAAGAAACCCAAAGAGAAAAGAGAGATGCCATATGTATGGTCTCTCTCTCTCTCTCTCTATCTATCTATTTATCTACTCTGTCTATCCATCTATCTATCTATCAATGTATCTTAGTTGGTATAGGAGATGGTTATTGGCAATGTAGCTCTTCACAGATAAGAGTCCCAAAGAGAATGGGAATATACCATATATATGGTGTCCTATCTATCTATCTATCTATCTATCTATCTATCTATCTATCTATCATCTATCTATCTATTTGAGTTGGTATAGAAGAACACCATCCATAGAAGGGAGACTTCGGTCATCTGAAACCAAGGTGTTTTTGGGTCCCTTTTGATCTTCACCCTGAAAAGCTGTGTCTTCCCCATTTTTTCTCAGGAAGAATTCCATACAGTTTGGAAACTCACCCTAAATCCCATAAAAAATATTTTATTGACTTCTGTAAAAAAAATTATCTTCGGTCGGGGGCTCTAGTTTTTAGTCTATTCAGTTAATGGCGCACATAAGCCATTTCTGCGTTTCTCGGATGACTGCGCAAGAGTTGGAAAATTGCCGAAATGGCAAAACCAACTTGAATCAGAAACGAATGACCATGTTATGAAATCATTGTGATTTTTTTTTTGCTTTCTTCAAGGCATCATTTAGATATAGAGAAATAATTCTAATATTTACAATGGTATCTTTAGTCTTTATCGAAGTTGTATTTCTTTAATGCTCCTTCTTGTGTTCTGTATACCATTTACGATAAGAGTATAAATATCTGCAAGCTATCAGATAATAAATGGAAATATTTAATATGAACTCCCATTTTGCAGGTTACAAATATCTCATCTTTTTTTTAAGGTGTAGTCATTTTTATTCTAATAGATATTTTATCTCAATCTGTCACAGAGAAAATCATATAGTTAAAGCTGAGCTCTGATGGTAGCAAAAGTTACAACAGGCATAAATGCAAAATGTAGTGCTTTCCTTAGATTGGGATTGGAGTTTTTAACAACCTTATTTTCTTCAAAAATATATTTATGTTTTTTCGAAGGCTTTTATGGCTGGAATCAATACATTGTTGTGAGCTTTCCAGGCTGTATGTCCATGTTCCAGAAGCATTCTCTCCTGACATTTCACCCACATCTATGGCAGGCATCCTCAGAGGTTGTGAGGTCTGTTGGAAACTAGGCAAGTGAGGTTTATATATCTGTAGAATGTCCAGGGTGGGGGAAACAGATCTCACAACCTTTAAGGATCCCTGTCATAGGTGTGGGTGAAACGTCAGGAGAGAATGCTTCTGGAACATGGACATACAGCCCAGGAAACTTACAGCAACCATATTGATGTTTGCTATATGGTTCCCAAAACCCATGAAAAGGGGTTTCAATTCACTTCAAACCATTTTTTTAAAACCTACCATTGAAAACAAAATTGAAATTGGAGTTCTAACAATACGTCGGGATATGGCTGATCCAAACTGAGTCTCTTTAAACGTACTTTAAAGACCGATGAAATAGTATATTTGGAAGGGCACTTCCTTTACATTTTTAAAAGATATGCATTTTTAATATTGTTTTTACATTGTAGACATTATAAATAGAATCATCTATCTATCTCCAGTCATTTCTGGATCTATCTATCTATCCTATCTATCTATCTACTCATCTATCTATCTATCTATCTATCTATCTATCTATCTATCTATCTATCTATCAATTATATATTGCATGTATTACTAATAATATTACAGTATAGTGGTATCGTACGATATAGTAATATAAAATACAAATATTGTGCTATGCTAATAATATAATATGTTGTATGTACATATAATATTGATCACAATATAATCTCAATACAATATAATCTCAATAATACAATATAATCTCAATAATACTACAATATAATAATATAATAATTATTATATATTATACTAGCTGTACCTGGCTATGTATTGCTATGGCCCCGTGTGGTTAAATGGTAATGAAAAAAAGAGAAAGAGCTGGGGTCTGACTCTACCTCTTTCCTTCCTTCATTCTTTCCCTTTTTTGCTTCCATCCTTCCTTCCCTTTTTTCCTCCCTCCCTCCTTCCTCCCCTCACTACTTCTTTCCTTCCTTCCTTCCTTCCTTCCTTCCTTCCTTCCTTCCTTCCTTCCTTCCTTCCTTTTCCTTCTTACCTTCCCTTTTGGCTTTCCTTCCTTCCTTTTCTTCCTTCGATTCTTCCTTCGATTCTTTCCTTCCTTCTCCTTCCTTCCTTCTCCTTTCCCTCTATACAGTCTCTTCCATCCTTCTACCCTTTCGTTCTTCCTTCCCTTCCTTCCTTCCTTCTTTCCTTCTTTCCTTCCTTCCTTCCTTCCTTCCTTCCTTCCTTCCTTCCTTCCTTCCTTCCTTCCTTCCTTCCTTCTTCCCTTCCCTTCCCTTCCCTTCCCTTCCCTTCCCTCCTCCCTTCCTTCCCTTCCCTTCCCTTCCCTTCCCTTCTCCCTTCCCTTCTTCTTTCTCTCCTCCCTTCCCTCCTGCTTTCCTTCCTTCCCTCTTTTCTTTCCTTCTCTCCTTCAATATAGTAATATATAATACTAATATTGTGCTATGTGAATATTATACTGTATGTACATATAACTTGTATGCCGCTCTGAGTCCCCTTCGGGGTGAGAAGGGTGGGATATAAATGTCATAAATAAACAAATAAATAAATCTATCCATCTATCTGCCCATCCAGCTATCTATCTATCTATCTATCTATCTATCTATCTATCTATCTATCTATCTATCTATCCATCTGTCTATCCATCTATCCGTCTATCACCGTCGGGGTGAGAAGGGTGGGATATAAATGTTGTAAATAAATAAGTAAATAGATAAATAAATAAATCTATCCATCTATCTGCCTATCTATCTATCTATCTATCTATCTATCTATCTATCTATCCATCTGTCTATCCATCTATCCGTCTATCACCGTCGGGGTGAGAAGAGTGGGATATAAATGTTGTAAATAAATAAGTAAATAGATAAATAAATACATCTATCCATCTATCTTCCCATCCAGCTATCTGTCTGTCTGTCTATCTATCTATCTATCTATCTATCTATCTATCTATCTATCTATCTATCTATCTATCTATCTATCTTTCTATCCATCTGTCTATCCATCTATCCGTCTATCACCTTCGGGGTGAGAAGGGTGGGATATAAAGATTGTAAATAAATAAGTAAATAGATAAATAAATACATCTATCCATCTATCTGCCCATCCTCCTATCTGTCCGTCTATC